TGCGTGTAGATAAAATGGCCCCGTCCGTGAAATATATTTCTAAATTTTTAGTTTAAAAATTATAAAAACTAAACAGCCTACAACATTTTTACAGTCTTTATTTTACAGTTAAAATATATGTTTATCAAATAAAGTCTAATGTTACAACCAATTGGGGATCCCTTTAAAGCTAGTATCTCACTAGTCTACAACTTCTAGCTTCAAGTTGTCAAACACTTGTTGCAAGAGTCTCCAACATGTCTCAAAACATTTATGTAGGTTCTCAAGTTACTTGCACGAGTCAGAGGGTTGCAAACAAAAGGCTTAAATTTTGGACTTAATCAAAAAATGTACGCAACTACATTTCTCTCAGAATAGCCAGTTATTACGAGTGTCTCTAAAACCCTTCGCAGTTTTGTTGCAGGCACCAGAAATCCATTTCAAAGTGCTAGCTTAATTTCCACAGCGTGCTTCAGTAGATTAAATCCTAATGAGGGCATCTGCCAAGGTGGGTACAAAGCGGGCCAACGCAGGTACAATGTGGGCAACAAAATTGTGTGTAGCCTAGAAAACAGCTTTTCAAGACATGCACGGTTGACATGCATGGTTTTCTGGTTTTATGGTTAGAAAACTTAAAAATGACAAGACTGAAATTTTGTTTGTTTTCTTGCTATTTTTGATTTTCAGCCCAGTGAGATACTACCTAAGGTTAGAAAAGATGTCTTTTTTTTTAAATCTCTCACAACCAGTGTTGTGCTGTACAGATTTGCTGCATTTTGTGATGTACTGTATGCTGAGCACAATGAGAGGGGATAAATTAAGCAAATGTCCAAAGTTTTTAGGTAAACCTTTGCTGGTTAACAAAGCTGAAGTAATGCTTTACTTTCCCCCATCAAAAAGACAAAACAAGTAAGATGGATGAGTGTTTCAGGTTACTAAAAACGTAGAAACAATGAGAAATAGTGTGCGATTGTATTTGAAGCTCATGCTTTGTTTCCAATGATTGAATAGCAGATGCCAAGCAGAGTTACCGAGTGTCTCTTCTTGGCTGCGTCCAGGCTGTGCTCCCTACAGACATTTCGGCTGTTGCGCAGGATCAGTCCAGACTCCCTGGCCTTCTGTGTTTTCACTGGCGGAGCTGGGGGAGCCATTTTGGGAAGCGCTGAAATTTTAAAGCTGAACTGCTGACTCTCTGGACAGCCTCTACCAGATACAGAGCTATCGTCTGGATGTTCAGTTTTAGTAAGACTCTGCGGTTCTGCTGGGGCTGCTGAATGGAATGTTGAAACATCAGTCCAGTTTAGGTCTGAGGATCCCTCTGGAGAGCCAACAGACCAGCGGTATTCTCGTTTGATGACGCGTGTTGCCTCCTCCTGCCTGGTCTCCTCCCGTTCATCTTTCACTGCAACGCTTTTTGACCTTTCTGGCTTCAGAGGTACGATCCTGGTGATTTCCGATTGAAAGCTACTGCCTGACAGTCGATGCAGAGATGTCCTCTGGCCTCTGTCTCCAAAGAAACCTTCAATGTCCTCTCCGCCAGAGCTACTAACCTTTCTCTCGTGTGTCCTGACTTGTCGAAGTTTTACCTCAGCAAGTTCTTTGTTATCAATAAGGCCCTTTCCTCGTAGCTTTGCCACACACTCACTTTTGACAGTGGAAAACGAACTTTCATTCTCCATCTTTCCAGGTCCGTTTAATGAGCCTGAATCAATACTTGTCATTACAACCTGGTTCAGCTTTTTCTTCACCTGCTCTCTTTCTTGACTGGTGGCCCCTTTGCCTTCCTGAACTGGCAAATCCACTTCTTGGTTGTCTTTATATACGCTGACAAGCCAATCTTTTCCTAATCCTTGGTCATCCGTTGGAGAAGAATCACAATGGTTTCCTCGTTTATACGTTTTGTCTGAAGTGTTGTCTGAGTCAGAGTCTTCGTTTTCCTCACCAGAAGAACAGCTGCCAGGTTTCCTGCTGACAAGCTCTGCAGGTATTCCCAGGTTTAGGCTCTGGCGTCTCCTTTTTTTTCTTGGTTTAAAACCCATCCTTTCTTTGATCTGGCGTGAGCCTGGGGCCACGCTGTTGCTTGCCTCAGGGCCTGAGGTTTGAGATGGTTTGTTTTCAGGTGTGTCTTGAAACCAGTCTACATTCTCAACTAACTGTATCACAGACAGCTGAGTCTCAGAGCATACTTCTCCAGGTGCCTTTGTTGATGGATCTTCATTGACATGGCTTTTCACTTCTTTCTTGTCGTATTGTTTCACCTCTTTATGTAGCATTTTGGCAATGTCTAGCTCTTTTTCCAGCTCCTTTTTCTCCCACGTGAAATCAGATATGTGAGATTTGTTCTTTTCTTCTGCCCTCAAGCCATGGTCTTGTTGAAAAGGTTGCTGCTTTTCAATCAATACCCATTCCTCAGAGTCCTACATGTTGGCATAGATTAAGCACAGTTAGACATGCCAAGCACAACTGATAGCAAACAATGATTTGTTTCCATCTCAAACAAGGTAAGGAAAAGTATAGCTGCTGTTCAGTGAGGTTTTAGTAAACTCTGGAATTATTAAACAAATAATAGAAAGTAGATATCATTGTAAAAACTGAATTACACCAACCAATACTGGGATACACTTTTGATAAGAAGGGAACAGTGAAAAAAGTGCAACCTCAGGTGATGTCACCAGAGTCTTCTGGATGAAACCCTCAACAGACAGACTGTTAACAGGGTCCTTTCCCACTTGCCAGCCCCCCAACTGGCCGGCATGCAGCAGAGGAGAGAGTTTAAAGAAAAAGAAACAGTTGTTAGAGCTCAGACACAGAGGGAAGGAATTAATGAAACACACAGTTTCATGCAAAAGCAAGAGAGACTGCACACATGTGGCKTTACTGACTGAAAGCATCAGAAACATTTTTAAGAACTTCAGTTTAAAAGCATGACAACCTGACAGACTCAGAAACCACATGAGCAAAACTYGAAGGCATTTGCAAAATAAATATTTTTTCCAGCAATCAGAAAAAGACCAGAGTTCTTTGGGTTTTATCCAACCTTCAACTGTACATAACACACAACATTACTCCCACTTCTCTGAAACGAAGGCGTACAATTTTTGTTGTAGACAACATTTGACATTGGATGGACATCTTCTAATTGCAGCATATAATGAATGAAATGTTGCCTGAATCAAAAGAGAAGACCTATTCTATCTAAAGACTCCAATCTCATTCATACATGGAGTTAAACCCTTTATACACACTGCCTGGCTAAAAAAGTCACCACCTGGATTTAACTAAGGTTTATGATGTGGGGTTGCTGCAGGTGGTCAGGTCTAGTTTCAGCAACAGTTTTTGCTCAAAGAATGAGGTCAGCTGACTACCTGAATATACTGAATGACCAGGTTATTCCATCAATGAATTGTTTCTTCCCTGATGGTACGGCCACATTCCAAGATGACCAGGATTCATGGGGCTGGAATTGTTAGAGTGTTTCAGGGAGCATGAGACATCATTTTCACAAATGGATTGGCTCCACACAGTCCATTGAGAATTTTTGGGATGTGCTGGAGAAGGTCAGACTCCAGAGTTGTAAAGTAACTAAGTACAAATACTTTGTTACTGTACTTAAGTAGAATTTTTGGGTATCTGTACTTTACTTGAGTAATTATTTTTCAGCCTACCTTTTACTTCTACTTCTTACATTTTCACACAATTATCTGTACTTTCTACTCCTTACATTTTTTAAAAAGATGAGAAGTAAAAAGTCGTTACTTTTATTTCATTTTTGCTTGTTTTCATTCCAGCTTGTTATTGTAAAAAAATTAATATAATCCATATAAATTGTGCCTCCTAGATAGAGTGAATTTAACTGTGGTTTAATGAGAAGTTTAAATATATAAAATTCTGAATACAGTATTAGTGCACAAACAAATCATGTCACACTCCAGCAGGACATAAATCATTAAAATAAAAGGCCTGTATTTAAGTAGTATTTGTATTTCATGAATTATATTATTACATTTGGCCGCAGCCCTCAGACAGATTTTCATTTTGGAAAAAAGCTTTGTGCAGCCTTGATATATGTTTATAAACTGAAACAGCTAGACTAGTGCATCTAAATTTAACATAAATTAATTATTTTAATACGACATTTTTTAGGGAGGTCACCTCCTAATAAATGTCATTACAGAAAATTAACTGCTCATTTTAAATCAATATTTTTACTTTTAATACTTAAGTACAAAAAATATCAGATACTTTAAGACTTTTACTCAAGTAATATTCCTAAAGGAGACTTTAACTTTTACCAATGTAATTTTTTGGTAAGATACGTGTACTTTTACTCAAGTATCACTTTGTGGTACTTAATAAAACACAGTCAGACTCTACCATCATCAAATGCAAGATCTTGATGAAAAATGAATGCAACACTGGATGGAAATAAATCTGGTGATGTTGCAGAAGTTTATCCAAACAATGCCACAGAGAATGGGTTCAGTAATCAAAGCTAAAGGCGGTTCAACAAAATGGTAGTGTTTATGACCTTTTTTTTAATTGTGGCAACTTTTTTTCCCCAGGCAGTGTATTTTTATCATGTATTACAAATCAGCAATCAAAATAGTGATGATCAAAGTTTAAATGTCTTGAACTGGGTAAATCTCACTTGAATCCTTTCAAGATGCTTCTTTACCAGTCGCTCGTCTGTCATCCACAAGCAKCTCATAAATATTTGAATATGTACACCTGTAACTCCTGCGGAAAACTAAATGAACGACATTACACACAAACAATTACACTGATGCACCAGGTTGTTTCATTGAGCATTAAAATATTTGCCAAGATGCACCTGAGCCACTTTAGCTAATCATATTCAGTTGCTGTTTTTTTGTCTTCATCTCAAGTCATTTAATCCTACCTCTCAACTAAAGACTCAAAACATGAGAAGCGCATCACAGCTATTTAAACAAACTTCCTTTTGTGTAAACAAACAAACAAAAAAAGCCATTTCCAATTTTTCTTCAGCAGCCTCTACTTACAGCCTTCTTTTCTGGTGTTCCAGTTGGAGAGGTTGCAGACAGACGTTTTTCGCGGTTCATGAGCTTGTTGTTTGGTTCCCGCAGKGCTCTCTTCAGCTCGTTAATGCTGGCCTGGTGTTTCAGTAAGACATCCTTCGATTTATCTAGGAACTGGAATAAAAAACAGAAGGCACAAATCGAAGAAGACTACTTATTCATGTATTCATTTTAACAAGGTATGGAGATAATGCTGCTTACACTAAAAGGTATGTCAAAATATTACCTTAAACTTGTGTTAAGTAGAATTTACACTGATTTTGTGCTCACTGACGCCACTAATGCAATTAAAACCAAGAACTATTGTAGTTCCAGCTGTGCTACTTTTAGATAAATAGAATGCAACAATAAAAGCTCATGCAGCAAATTCAATGAACAAAATCAACATGAGAAATTTAATGAATTTTGTGTTTGCCTCTAATAAGGGATTATTTGTTTTGAATGATGGGAGGCATTCCATGAGAGTTGTATTTTAATACAGATTTGAATCTTGCTATTTTCTACATCACAACAATCCTGAGTATAAAACTACAATTTTTAGGCATTTTTAATTGAAAACATTAAAGATACATTAGCAGCAAAAGCCAATAAAGCACAATACAATTTATCCATTAATCAGAGTATAGTGTCATCTAATACAAGTTTTGATTTAATGCACTGACATATAGTGTAAAAATAACAGCTCAATATTTGTAAAATTAGACAATTTTATTTAGTTTTTTTTAACTTCAATTGGCTGTGGCAGAAATCACGACTCAAGTTAACATCAAAAAGTGTGTGTGCATCCAATGATTACTTTCTGTTTCATTTAAAGTCCTCCAATGGGTCATGACATATTTTGGTAACAGTCAGACAAAAACTCACAAGCACACTGACAACAGGCAATAAATAAATAAATAAATAAATAAATAAAGAATAAAAAATAGCATTTATTTTTGGCAGCAAAAAATATATATCCCCCAAATCTTTACATGTAAAGTTCTTTGAAGGCTAAAGAAGCAGTAGCATAGAAAGGATCCAGGAAACAGCGGGTATGAAAACGTATACCTCCTTGTTGTGCCGAGGAGTGGTCTCCTGGTCCAACTGAGACAGCTGAATTGGGGCAGGAGAATGTGCGTGCAAAAGAAAATGCAGAGGTGAAGTGTGTAGGGTCGGACAGCGCAAGAACAAAGGGGGAGCGTGAGACAACAAAGTGGGAAATCAGTAAGTAAACAGGAAGGCAGCGTGAATGAAAGAATCGATCTGACAACTTTGATACAACGAGAAGACAAACTCCAAAAGAATTTGGAGGAAGCAAAAAACAGAGTGCACATATCTCACATGAACAATGTCATATGACAAAATGTGGCGTCACTGTTGGTTTTCTATGGTTTTGTTGGACTGTTGGACAATCGTTTTCATGCTGCATGTGGTCCAAGCTCGGAGAGTTTACTTTGATTGAACACACACCTTTATGTTCACAACTGCCGTTTTTCTGCTTTTATACAGAGGGTCAGACTAAACGATGCTTTGTTAATTAAAGCACTAAACTAGCAGAACTAGTCTGTTTCCTAATTCCAATGGATGTACTAAGGATGGACTTTCCTAATAATCAAAAATTTAAAGTATCTAAGTACATTTACTTAGATACAGTACTTAAGTAATTTTTTAAGAATTTGCAATTTTATCAAGTGTTTTTTTTGCTTTTATTTCATTACATTTAAAACCTAAAATTGATACTTTTACTTCTTTACTTTAAAATTTAAYACCTGTTTACTCGTTACAAAATTAAATATGTCCAAACTTATCATGCATTCTCTAAAAAATGAACTGTTGAATTTACTCAACCAAGTCATGTCAGCTGGTTTTACCAAACCTAGTAGAGTAAATATGAGGCAAGAATATTTTCTCCACTTGGTTTAGTAGAACCAGTTTGGTTAACCCAGGGGTCTGCAGCTTGTGGCTCTGGGGCCATATGTGGCCCTTTGGTCCCTCTGCAGTGGCTCTTTGAAAATGTGACCAAACATAACTGAATTTTTTTTGTTTTGTTTTTATACCCACAGAAGAAATCAATTTGTATGCAAATATGTGATCCATCCTCCTAATGCAAAAAGTAAAACGTTAGCTCATGCTAGTCTGTTGTTTACTTAAACAATCCAACTTCTTTCTATGTTCTTTCTCTCAAATCCATCTGAATTACCTTTAAATAATTTGAAGACTACATAATAGGAAGAATTAGAAAAAAAGAATATGCCTCAATAATTCAGTTGTACTAGTTTTTATGAAATTTGGTATAAACTACAGTGGTTTGCAAAAGTATTCATACCCCTTGAACTTTTCCATATTTTGTCACATTACAACCACAAACATAAATATATTTCACTGGAATTTAATGTGAAAGACCAACACAAAGTGGTATACAATTGTGAAGTGGAAGCAAAATTTTACATGAATCAAAACATTTTTTACAAATAAAAAACTGAAAAGTGYGATGTGCAAAAGTATTCAGCCCCCCTGAGTCAATACTTTGTGGAGCCACCTTTTGCTGCAATTACAGCTGCAAGTCTTTTAGGGTATGTCTCCACCAGCTTTGCACATCTAGTGACTGCAATTCTTGCCCATTCCTCCTTGCAAAACAGCTCAAGCTCAGTCAGATTGGATGGAGAGCATTTGTGAACAGCAGTTTTGAGATCTTGCCACAAATTCTCAATTGGGTTTAGGTCTGGACTTTGACTGGGCCATTCTAACACATGAATATTCTTTTTTTTAAACCACTCCATTGTAGCTTTGGCTTTATGTTTAGGGTCGTTGTCCTGCTGGAAGGTGAACCTCCGCCCCAGTCTCAAATCTTTTGCTGACTCCAACAGGTTTTCTTCCAAGATTGCCCTGTATTTGGCTCCATCCATCTTCCCATCAACTTTGACCAACTTCCCGGTCCCTGCTGAAGAGAAGCACCCCCAGAGCATGATGCTGCCACCACCATATTTGACAGTGGGGATGGTGTTTTCAGAGTGATGTGCAGTGTTCTTTCTCCGCCACACATAGCGTTTTGCATTGTGGCCAAAAAGTTCAATTTTGGTCTCGTCTGACCAAAGCACCTTCTTCCACATGTTTGCTGTGTCCTCAACATGGCTTCTGGCAAACTGCAAACGGGACTTCTTATGGTTTTCTTTTAACAATGGCTTTCTCCTTGCCACTCTTCCATAAAGACCACATTTGTGTAGTGCACGACTAATTGTTGTCCTGTGGACAGTTTCCCCCACCTGAGCTGTGGCTCTCTGCATTTCATCCAGAGTCACCATGGGCCTCTTGGCTGCCTCTCTGATCAGTGATCTCCTTGTTCGGCCTGTAAGTTTAGGTGGACGGCCTTGTCTTGGCAGGTTTACTGTGGTGCCATACTCTTTCCATTTCCGGATGATGGATTGAACAGTGCTCCGTGAGATGTTCAAAGCTTGGGAAATCTTTTTATAACCTAAGCCTGCTTTAAACTTCTCCAAAACCATATTCCTAACCTGTCTGGTGTGTTCTTTGGACTTCATGATGCGGTTTGCTCCCCAATATTCTCTTAACCAACATCTGAGGCCGTCACGGAGCAGCTGTATTTGTACTGAGATTAGATTACACACAGGTGGACCCTTTTGAGTCATTAGCAGTCATCAGGCAACTTCTGAATGCAATTGGTTGCACTCAGGGAAAAGGGGGCTGAATACTTTTGCACGTCGCACTTTTCAGTTTTTTATTTGTAAAAAATGTTTTGATTCATGTAAAATTTTGCTTCCACTTCACAATTGTATACCACTTTGTGTTGGTCTTTCACATTAAATTCCAGTGAAATATATTTATGTTTGTGGTTGTAATGTGACAAAATATGGAAAAGTTCAAGGGGTATGAATACTTTTGCAAACCACTGTATATATGGTATTTTTCTTGTTTAATATGGTCTATTTCTTTGTCCTGATGTGTATAATAATAAATAATATAATATTATTATCATTACTGTTTTTTAATAATGTCACCTCCACTTACCGTAAAGGTTCCCGGAAAGACCTAGAAAAGGCCTCTAAAAGGCCCACAGACCACCAGTTGATAATCACAGTTGTAGCTTGTTTTGCGGCTCTGGACACATTTTATTAGTGAGAAAAGGAGCACAARTTACTCTTTTGATTGTAAAGATTGCAGACCCCTAGGTTAAGTAAATTCTACAGTTTAGTAAGTGTTTAAAAGTACTTTTACTTTTACTTTCCCAATATTTATGAACAGTTTTATGACTTTTACTTAAGCATTTTAAACATCAGTGAAATTTATTTTTACCAAAGTCATTTTCTATTAAGGTAGTTTAACTTTTACTTTGTTTTTTTTTTTCAAGTACTTTATAGACCTCTGCTAATAATGTTGTGGTGAAAAGTGGCCTGTGTTCTTGTTCATCTACGTTTGTATGTATGTTATTTTCAGGATTGTATAGACAGAATTTTTTTAAATACACTCTCAAAAGTGAACCCTTAGAGCTAAAAGGGGGTGTGTTTTATTTTCACATGCATCTATGTTTAAAGTTTTCACAGATAACTTTAATGACAGCCCTCAGTAACAGACATATGCTTTGGGAAAATGATTTCTGAGGGAGAGGTACTGTTTGAAGGTAAACAGATGAACAGACGCAATACCTCCTGTTTACTGTCAACTGGAGAGCCAGCTTCCTCCTTATTGCCAGCAAAAGTTAAAAAATAGAGAAAGAGTGTTAGAAACAGAAAACCAGTCTTGAGTCTCATTTTCTGAGARGAATGTGAAAGGATTCTGTAAAACTGTTAGAATTCATGAAAAGGCAGGACAAGCATGACGGCCTGACTGAGTTTGTGTAAAAAGTAATGTTGTCAACAGATAAATCCTCAGCAGCCACTTGCAGACTTGCAATTATACCCACGCAGGATAAACCTGTTCGACTGAAAACTTATGCTGTACATATTCATTATTACTGCAGTACCTACCATTTCTGCTCACCAACACCAATGCTGTCTTTATTTCAATTAAAACACTAAACTTCTCAAGATGGAAACTCAATTTTCTCTCTTTTGTTTTTGTTTTGTTTATACGACGAGGTATATTTACCATAATTTCTTTCTTTCTGCTCGGGGAAATGTTGCCATCCTGGTTTAGCTCCTGTTCGGTCTCCTGGCCCTGCTCCTCATCGTTGTCTTCCTCATCCTGCTCCAGACTGGGCTCCAGCTCAGTCTCCTGCTCATCCACAGAAGGACTGTGCAGTTGTCGCTGTTCACTGATGCTGCGATGGGACATGACATCGTGGTTCTCACACATAGATGATACTGGCCGAGAGAACTCTGCAGTTCAGAAAAAAAAAACATATTTTTATTACATAAATACTGTTTGAAAGTAGTCAACATTTGACAAAAAATGTTTTAAGGGATAGTTTGACAATCTAGGAAAGACTGGAAGGTTTTATTTAAAGGGCACACATTATGCAAAATCCACATTTTAGCTGTTAAATGCATTTTGTTGTGGATATGGAGTCTCTATGAATGCAGAAAAGTTGAATTTAGTCTTTCCTGGTGCTGCAAAGATATCTTTATATTCTGTTAAGCTCAAAATTTTCAGACTGTTCAGTTTTCTCTCTTTTCTCTGACATTTTCTGAACTATTACGTCAAATTATCTGTGACAGAATTGCCAAATAAGGTCTGGACTTTCCAAGGACAAATTCCTTGTCTTAATTCTCCTTCTGGTTCTTGGTCAGACTCTGGCTGCAACATGTAAGGCTGGATGGACAAGTTTTCTGTTGCTGACATCTTTGAATTAAATTGCAAATAAAACGTTTCTGCACCACTATGCTAAAGCACCTCTCAAACTGGAGTGGACTGGTCTGGAAGCCGGAGCGGGGCGGGGCTTGAAAGGCCCTAAAAGAACAGTATCAAAACATCAGTAAAAAAGGTGAAAGAGGGTCTGGTAAAGTTGGAATACGGAGGAATTCAGACCATAGCAGTGCAGTTCCACTTTACAAAGACCCCAACTGAATGATTTATTRTGAAAAGGAAGGATTTAAAAGCAGTATATTTCTATTTTAAAAGGTAGAAACTTTGTGTTGTACTTGTTTTGGTGACAGAGTAGCACAGTTTTCCCACTTTCACAGATTAAACCGGTGAAAATAAAACTAGTTTAGAAGTGCTAATTTTTTAAATAGATAGGCAACTTTATCTAATTCTAGTAATCATTTTTAACATCTATCTTGATATACAGTAGCTTTTGGCCAAAAAAAAAGCACAAAACTGTGCATCCTTTAACCATTAACCTAGACGTTTAAATAGTAAATTTTAAGCTGTGTTTGAATGTAAACTTAAACATACATCTTTTAATCTCCTACAATCAAGGTTACTCACCTCCATCCAGGCTTCTGGACAGCAGGTACCTCTTGCTGGTAGAGCGCTCGAAGTGAGGAGCAGGACGGTCTATAAGAGCACTGGCCTGTCGGGTCTGAGCCTGAGTCCTTCCACTGTATCGAAACTTTGAACCCATCACCAAGAAGCCCTTAGGAGGAGGCTCTGGAGATACCAAGCTGTGAAACAAAACCTGCACTTGATATGGTTTCCAGACAAAAACAGCAAGATGAGTGTTGAACATCAAGCTTTAAGGCTGACATTCTCTCTCCCCACTCGTCACATATTGATGCTTGATCCAGGTTCTGTCTGCATCTGGTTTTGACGCATCGGGTAATCCTCTTGTGTCAGTTATTGATGCTGGGAGCTTTTCTGGATTCGCGCCACATAAGGTCTTTGGGTTGGGGTCCGTGGTTAATATTAATGATCAAGATTACTGGTTAATTTTAGGTAGTAAGATCAGGGATAGGATGTCCAGGGCTAATGGAAGTTAAATTTAGGGTTTGGGATGGTTAGTTGTCATGCATTTCTGAGTAAGGGGCCATCAAGGGGCAACAATATTCACAAAAGGGCAGAATATTTTTTCAGCATCATCCTTACACATATATTCCTGGTTTTGGTAAGGTGTGTACATTTAGCCAGTCACACATCTTAAAACACTTGTAATTTAGAAAAAAAAACTTGCACAGTAAATTCTAGTTACCAATTTTTGTATGAATTTTTTTGTAAGTGAATAAAACATTCTCAAACATACAGCATGTGACAAAACCCAGCCATCATTTGTCAGTTTAAAAGACTTTTTCTTCAGGGTTGTACAAATGTTTTTAAGAAGAGAAGAAGACTTCTGTGAGCTTGATTCATGCTRGACTTTCCTATTTGACTCATTAGCGCCACTCGTGTTTGGACATGGAACTGCATGTACCATCATTGCTCTCTGCATTCATGTCAACTTGTTCGGATTGTCCATAAGTTATAAGGATTTTATGTCATTTTGCAGGTATACGGATGTGTAGAGCAATCTCACGGATTTTTTTAAGTCTTACAGAATTTTTCAAAACCTCATTTTCAAATTTATCTAACACGTCAGAGCCTATAGGATGATTTAAAAATAATAAATAACATCAAACAGCCATCTTCCAACCTGTTCTGCCACTAGAAATAAGTTTTAAAATTTTCTGCTCTTCTTTCCTCCTGCCTTGCATCAGGCGCTTTCATGTCCGCAGCCGACAGACACCCCCCACCCCGGGTGTGAGTTGTTCAGATTTTTGAGGCTCTTTATACAGGTAAACGTAAACAGGGATACTTTAGTGGGGCAGTCAGATTTCAGCAGGAGACAATGCTTCTGTGGCCCCGCCCCTAGAATCACCCCTGAGCCTCTCACCCCGGGTTTCCACTGTGTGCAGCTCTGCTCAGCTGCGCACTTCGCAGGCATTCATGAATACCTGGAAGTTGCTTTACTTTTGGGATTCAAACATTATTCAGAGTAAAAGGGAAATTTTTAACCAGGATTAAAATAGTTGTGTTAATTTTCGCAAAAACTCTGTGTTTTATCTGTGACAGTGTCAGGTTAAAATAATCATAGTTTATGATAAACATCTGTAAATTTAAATCGGACAAAGGATTACAAGATTCTAAACAAGGTTCTGGTGATTTGAGCTATGGGGTTAAAAAAAAGCTACGTGTTTGCTTCAGAAYTGCTTCGCTGGTTTCAGACATACGTCCACTTTTGAGTARCAAATGAATARCTTACCTGTAACATATGTGAACTTTTGCATAACTTATCTGCAGCATACCTGTAACATGTGCCTCACTTATCAGCAGCATATCGGCATAAGATGAAAATTTTGAGCACGTCCAAAGTTACTGGCTGGTCACTGTTCTGATATATTTACAACTTACACATGCAAATTACAGCATCTGGTTGGACTAAATTTGTATAAGTCAGCATAAGCTGTCTAAAGCAGGGGTTCTTAACCTTTTTGACCTTGGGGCACAATTTGTTGAACATAAAGTGGCACGAGGCCCAGTCACACATTACCAATGTATGGATCAAAATGATAATTATTGTAAATCTTTGTTTAAATTTGTATTGTATTTACATCATAACTAAACTATCATAACTAACATAACTAAAGTAAATACACTTACAGTTTAAAAGTAAAACTCCTGTCAAATAATCACAACATGATTATGACAAACATTTTTATTTTGTAACCTTCACATACAATTATTATCCCATTATAACAATTATTTGAACAAATACAACAGGGTTAGACCACTCAGACTTATCAGCACCTATATATATA